TGTATGAGAATATCACCAATTATATTTATTTTCGAAAATGGATCCATTCTGTTTTGCAATCATCCCAGTTTGATTGGAGCTTTCTTTGCAATGACACTATACTAATGATGCATTTGGTTCTCTAGATGCCATGGAAATAGAAAAATCCATGGTATTTAATAATGCAATAAGAAGCTGAAATATAAAGCTGACCTGTGTGACCTACTGTTCTCTCTGAGTCATATATCTCAAAGTCATTTCCTCCCTGCTCAAACAAACACCCAAGCCCTTCATTTAGTCCTAAAAGAGTACTAAAAAAAGTTAATGAAAAAAGGGCAAAATTTACTTTACCCCATATGGTTTACTCCATGTGTTGTCTACGCTCAGATGTTTAAAATAAGCATATAACTCTCTATGGTTCGAAGATTAAAGTGCACCGTCTATACACTTCAGTGAAAGGATCAAAATACCTCTGAAGTAGCCTTAACATTGAGCAAACTAAGGGCATTTTTGCCATCTTTTTGGGCATGAAATGTGTTTTAACAGAACCATTCGCATTCTAAGCACATGTTTTCACATAAGCTATTAATTTTGATGGAATTTTGATGGTGCACCAAATCATAGGAAGGTTATATGCTTATTTCTAAATATCAAGAGGGGTAAACCACAAGTAGAATTAACCATGGGGTGTTGAAGTGAAGTTTGCCCCCCCAAAAATAAATGATCTAATACAACACATCACCACAGGGAATCAAAGCTTCTAAACAAGCTCATGGCACATGGAAAATAAGTGCAAACACTAACAGCTAGCACAAGCGTATGAAAAATCATAAAGAAAATACATTATTATCTCAAAATACCTGGCCAAGCATTGTAGCCTCAGATTCAATTCCTCCAACTCCCCAACCAACAACTCCTAAGCCAGCAATCATAGTTGTATGGGAATCAGTTCCAACCACGCTATCAGGGTACATAATACCATAAAAATGTGAAGTAGTACCAACCCTAAAAAAATATAAAAAACTAAGTTGCACCCTATGCATTAAAAGCAAAACATGCCTTAAATCATGATACAGTTTAATTGAGTGGCAATTATTTTTTACTATGTTTTTGGCTGAACTCCAACATTGTTATTGTTTTTATGCACTAAAATATGAAATATGTTCACGAGGCCAAGTGGTTCTTCAATCATTACCATTAATTTGAAGGCATTGAACCATAGGATGGAATAGACATCAATCAAATCTACACTAGATTTCATTCAACGGGTGGAGCATTTTTTAAATGTTGAATCCATCTTTGTCTTTTCTATGTCGTCTATACATAAATATAACTTCAAGCCAAATTCAGCCCCCACCTTCCTAAAACTTGAGGGCCACAAACCACCAAACCTCTTATATTTTGAAGCCATCTTTCAACTCTCTTTCAAGAGACTACGTAGTCTTATTGGTTTTGAACGATATCAAAGAGCATGAGCAGGGTGTTTTTACCAGTGATGCAGAGAATCAAAGAGAAGTCTCCAAAGTGTGACTTAGCCATGAAAGCAAGTCATGACTCTGCTTCTACTTCTGCCTTCCCTTCTGGATCTTCTAAGCAGGTGAGAACAAATGTCGGTGCTTATAATCAATTGGCCTATAACAAAGCTGATAAGGATAGCAATGATAACAGATACAAACAAGCTGAGGAATCTCTCTGGACAGTGATGTATTGGAGCTATTGGGGTCCTAATTGAAGTGTTAACGAAATTCGAAAAGCAGATCTAACTTCAGTGTTTTTTGTAGATGGTTTTTTGTTTTGAAGCAACCTTGTTGTACATAAGAGAGTTTGTGTGTGGATGAAACATGGCTATATAGTGGACTTCAGTACTGAATGAAGAACTCTATTTCTTTTCTTATTAGATCCCACGTATCCCTGCCATTATAACATAGTATATAGATTTAACATTGTAGCAGAGAGTAGTAGAGACATCATGAATATGAGATTAAGTGATCAAATAGTGTGCTTAAACAAAGATGAGCAAGCTTAACAATAAAGAGAGTAATGTAATTCAAGTCACAAAAAGGCACAAGCACAAAGATAAAATGTAGGATGCGAGGACTTGTTACTTGGCACAGACAGAAGTACCGGCTGCAAATCCAATTGAACGGAGAAAAGAAAAAGGTTTTCTACATTGACAACAAATAACAAATAGTTGTAAGGTATGATTTCCAAGAACAAGAGCATACTTAAAAGATATCCATCGTTCCATAACAAACTTCCAATATGTAAGTCACAGTTGTTCGAATAAATCACCAATCTTAGCTTGCGCAGGAATGAATGTGACTCACACTGATGAAGAATTGAAATGACTATATTTTTTCCCAAATACTTGAACATAGAAGCAAAAGAATGAATTGGAAAATTTCAATTAGAATTGTTAATGCCTCTAGCCTCTGGTAGATTTTCACTTGTAGTTGTTCAATGTGCTACTTTAAAACCATTGTGAAAGCAACCAAACATTTCAAATAATTCTGTTGCTTTACCACAATCAATTAGTGAATGTACATGACAATAGAAACTGAATTGCATACATTATAAACAGCAACATTCTAATGCTATTTCAGATCTTGGATTTATCAAGGGAATTGAAAATGAAATTAAAGAAATAAATTCAGCTTCTTCCCCTTTATTTTCTTAGGTCTACAAATCTATAATCCAAAGCCTAAATGTGCGTGCTAGCTTAAACTATGCAAACTTTTAACCAAGACTTGTATAACTCTTCTTCCTAGAGAAAAACATTGAATATATCACAATTATATAAATCTACCTCAAATACATCATCTATTTCTTCATGTTCACAACTTCTTGGCTGCTACTTTTCTCCAATTTCATCATATCAAACAAAGCACAACCAAAATAAATCCAAGTTTTGTGCTTTTACTAAATTAGTGCTTCTCTCTGTTTAGCTAATTTTGTTTGTCAAGGTTATGTATAAGTACACGACACACTCGACTTTTGCCCATCCTTATTACTGAGTGAACTTGAACCTCTAAACCAAACATTGACATACATATAAATTATAATAGACATAAGAGAACATGAATTTACCATTCCACTGAGAATTAGATTTCTGGAACTTGATTGAGCTGATTCTAGTTTTTCCATTACAACTAAAGACCACATATGGAAATCAAAATGTATGACCCGCAAATTAAATTCTATCAATATAATAAGGCATGTGCTTTGTAGAAAATAGAAATGCAGCATAAAGAAGAATTTTGGCCATCACATTAACAAACTATAATGCTTAGAATAACATATAATTTTAATCTCTAATGCTGATTATGAACTGAAACTAATGTTGAACATACTCTCAATATTACAAATTAAAAAATAATAAATAAATTTAGAGAGAGAGAGAGAGAGAGGAAAACATAAACCTTGCCTGCTCATTAACAAAGCGTGCTGAAACAGAATTCAATGAATACGAACTGAGTTTATAATCCCTTTGCATAACCTGCACAATTAGAGTGATAGCATAAATTTTCGGTTTTGATAAAATCTTCATGAATATACCACCATGAACCAATCTGAGAGAGCATAGAAAACAATCCCAATGAGCATAACTTGAAGCAAATCAAATTGAACTCTTCCCATTAACTGTAACTTCTTTGCTCTCCCTCGTTCCATACTGTCCATAATCCCACAAATATCAAAAAAGTAAACATCTCAATCCTACACATCACATCAACATCAATGGTAGGAAACTATTATTAATTTTTTTTCCCCTTTCCCCTTTTCAAGCTCCATTAGTTGGGTCTTTGACATCAAATTTTGTTTTCCATTTGTTTGTGATCTTCATTTATAATCTATTTCTAAACTCCAAAACCACTAATTGTCATTTAAATAGTTTGTTTTCATGTCGAAGGACACCTGAAATTTGACATTGTTCGTGATTCTTTCGTAACTTTTTGTTATACGTCGAAAATGCAGGAACTGGCCTATTTTTCTTGAAACCTGAAAACGAGGTTGCATAACCCTCAAGATACTTTCTATGCTTGGTCTACTTCTCATTTTAAGCTTTGTTATTCTCAATTTGGAACTTTTATGCATGAGAACTCCACAACAATTGTTCCAATTTCAAGATAGCAGCAAATTAGTAGAAGGGAGGAGAAAACCAAAGCAGAAAATCAGCAAAACAGAGCAGAAAATCAGAGAATATGAAGGATAAGAGAAGAAAACTAGAACCTGGAAGCAAAAGGAAAAAAAATTAGCAGAAAAATGACCTAACAAAAAAAAATAAAATTCTGAAATAGTGAGCTGGAAAAAGAAGAAATGGGAGGAAATGAAGAGAAGAGAAGAAAAATAATGAGGTTTTGCCCAGATATAAATATCATTAGGTGTTTAAGGTAACAAGCAGCAATGAAGACAACCATAATCAATATCTATTCCCAGAATTTTGACATAACCAAAATTAATTCAGAAACTCTTACATGTTCCCTTTTTAAAAATTTACAAATTTCAATCAAACCCCATTTAAATTATGGCCCATTCCTACAAGTTTGGGTAATCTAAGTTGGTTCATGTTTTCTATGCTATTTTTTGTCAAACATTACAATACACATCCAACATAAGGACTGAATCAACAGAATATCCAATAGAAAAACAAAACAACAAAACAAAATCAAAGTGGGTCTAGAACAAGAAACACAACAGGCCATAAAAACAACAAAACAAATCAAAGTGGGTCTAGAACTAGAACCATAAACACAATAGCCAATAAAAATAAAATAAAATAATAAAAAAATAAAGAAATTTAGGAGATGTGGTGAATACATATACGTGCATAGACAGGACTATACATTGCTTTGCGAACGGCTAGGACTCGTTTGCCCTTTCCAATTTAAATAGACACAAGCATCCTCCCAATTTAAACAAACTCATGTAACACACTCTAGAAGTTCCCCAAATGACGCACAGTAGCAAAAGAAACTCTCATAACCATTATAAAAGCATACCGAGGGATAGCAGCATTTTGATTTTAAAGGGAAAAAAAAAATTGTTGAGAAAGGATTAGTATAAAATCAAGGATCCTTAAATTAACTTGTTGCTAGATCAACAGTCCAACACATCAAAAGCCACATGCACCAAAAAGCAATCTAATACATCTCAGAAAAACGTAGTTCATAGTTCCAATTATCTCATCGCATTCAATGACATGAAACAAAATCGTAAAATTAATTTCATTACAGCACTTTAGCACATAACTTGGAACTGTTTCTTAGTCCATCAAGCAAGGCAACATTAGTCACTTGTGATGCACAACACATCTCTCCAACAGATATGCCACCAAAGTCCAAATATACACACAAGCTATAAGAACCCCAAAAATCATTGCAATCATTTCAATATCATTGGCAAGAGCAAAAAACATATTGGCATGCATAATAAAATAAAATAAAATTACATATATTCATTGTCATTTGGAGTTCAGCAATTCCAAATTGGAAAAACTCTACTTCATATCATATTTGAACTTTTGCTTCATTTCAAATAACTTAACTTTTTTCATATCAAATTACAACTCACACCCCAACATCAATTTTGCTTCACATTTCAAAACTACCACCCACCAGTAATGTGTTTTGTGATTTTTCTTATCCAAAAATATAATTTAAAATAAAAACAGAAACAATGTTTCAGAAAGTACATTCAAACAGGCACAGACAGAAATCAACCACGCAAACATAATCACAATCTCAGATCAAAACAAAAAAAATCCATTTTCAAGTCAACAACAATACAAGATCTAAATCGAATTCAATCAGAAATAAAAAATAATAGTTGAAATTATTACCACTTTGCGCAATTTCTTGATCAAAGCCATCGGCTTCCTCTTGAGGCCTCTTTGGAACCTTTTCATTGTATAAAAACAGATCAATCAGAACCACTTCCAGAGTACAACAATACATAAAATATATATATATATATATATATGTATGTACACATGTATCTATGTGCACAATCACAAACTCAAAATTCTACCTTCTGCGAGCTCGAGCGGTGAAGAGCTTGACGAGCTCATCGGTGGACATGTCAAGGAGAGCATCCAAATCGACACCCCTGAAGCTGAACTTCTTAAACGTCCCCTTCTTTGGCTATCCTGTAGCCACCTCTGTTTCGATTTCCGCCTAACAAAGAAAGAGAAATACATATAGAAAGATGAGTGTTAACAGATGAATTAAGAGAGAGAAACCGTGTTGCAGATTGGAGGATGGATGTGAACTCACCATGGCTGTAGAGAGAGAGAATCAGCAAACCCTAATTTGAAGAAGTTTGATGCATCGCGGCTAGGGTTTTGAGAAGACGACTGTGTGTGTGTATTTATAGGGTAACGCTGAAATGGAGAAAAAAAATATATAATCACACTTATTTAAAAAGGGTGATTAAAATGTATATACACTAAAATGTATATATAATCACACTTTAATTAAAATGTGTGATTAAAAAATATATATAATCACACTTATTTAAAAAGTGTGATTAAAAAGTAGTAGTGTATATATAATCACACTTTAATTAGAAGGTGTGATTAAAAAATATATAAATAATCAGTTTTTAATTAGAATGTGTGATTAAAAAGTAGTAGGGTATATATAATCACACTTTAATTAGAAGGTGTGATTCAAATATATATATATATATAATCACACTTAATTGAAAAGTGACATAAAAAATAAATATTATCACACTCAATCAAATTAAGTGTGATTAAAATATCAATCTAACTTTTTTTATCACACTTCCAATAAAAGTGAGATCCTTTTTTTTGTCAAAGTGTGATCTTTAACTCTTTTTGTAGTAGTGATCGTTTCCTTACCATATCTGACGCATTACGGTTCGAACACTGGAACACCTATACGGATTCTCCTGCACAGTGGCAGATATGTAAATACAACGTTTACTTACTATTTCTCAAGCATTACGGCTCGAACACTCGAACACCTATACGGATTCTCCTGCACAGTGGCAGATATGTAAATACGGCGTTTACTTACAATTTCGCATGCATTACGGTTCGAACACTCGAACACCTATACGGATTCTCCTGCATAGTGGCAGATATGTAAATATGGCATTTATTTACCATTTCTCATGCATTACGGTTCGAAAACTCGAACACCTATATGGATTCCCCTGCACAGTGGCAGATATGTAAATACGGGGTTCACTTACAATTTCTCAGGCATTACGGTTCGAACACTCGAACACCTATACGGATTCTCCTGCACAGTGGCAGATATGTAAATACAACGTTTACTTACTATTTCTCATGCATTAAGGTTCGAACACTTGAACACCAATACGGATTCTCCTGCACAGTGGCAGATATGTAAATACGGCATTTATTTACCAATTCTCATGCATTACGGTCCGAATACTTGAACACCTATACGGATTCCCCTGCACAGTGGCAGATATGTAAATACGGCGTTCACTTACAATTTCTCACGCATTACGGTTCGAACACTCGAACACCTATACGGATTCTCCTGCACAGTGGCAGATATGTAAATACAACGTTTACTTACTATTTCTCATGCATTATGGTTCGAACACTCGAACACCTGTACGGATTCTCCTGCACAGTGGCAGGCATGTAAATACATCGTTTCCTTACCATTTCTGACGTATTACGGTTCGAACAATGGAACACCTATACGGATTCTCCTGCACAGTGGCAGATATGTAAATACGACGTTTAGTTACCATTTCTCACGCATTACGGTTCGAACACTCGAACACCTATACGGATTCTCCTGCACAGTGGCAGATATGTCAATACAACGTTTACTTACTGTTTCTCATCCATTATGGTTCGAACACTCGAACACCTGTACGGATTCTCCTGCACAGTGGCAGATATGTAAATACATCGTTTCTTTACCATTTCTGACGCATTACGGTTCGAACACTGGAACACCTATACGGATTCTCCTGCACAGTGGCAGATATGTAAATACAACATTTACTTACTATTTCTAAAACATTAGGGTTCGAACACTCAAACACCTATACGGATTCTCCTGCACAGTGGCAGATATGTAAATACGCCGTTTACTTACCATTTCGCATGCATTACGGTTCGAACACTCGAACACCTACACGGATTCTCCCACACAGTGGCAGAAATGTAAATACATCATTTACATACCATTTCTGACGCATTAGGGTTCGGACACTCGAACAACTACACGGATTCTCCTGCACAGTGGCAGATATGTAAATACGATGTTTACTTACCATTTCTCATGCATTACGGTTCGAACACTCGAACACCTATACGGATTCTCCTGCACAGTGGCAGATATGTAAATACGGCGTTCACTTACCATTTCTCATGCAATACGGTTCGAACACTCGAACACCTATACGGATTTTCCTGCACAGTGGCAGATATGTAAATACAACGTTTACATACTATTTGTCATGCATTATGGTTCGAACACTCGAACACCTATACGGATTCTCCTGCACATTGGCAGATATGTAAATACGGCATTTATTTACCATTTCTCATGCATTACGGTTCGAATACTCGAACACCTATACGGATTCCCCTGCACAGTGGCAGATACGTAAATACGACGTTTACTTACCAGGAACATAGGGACATATCCCAGTGTTTCGAAATGGCTCAAGCATTAGAACGTATTCCAGATGCTCTTAACCGAAAAAGGAGAAACATAGGGATGTATCTCGGTGTTTCAGAATGGCTCAGGCATTGGAACGTATTCCAAATGCCCTAAACCGAAAAGAGAGAAACATAGGGACGTATCTCGGTGTTTTAGAATGGCTCAGGCATTGGAACATATTCCAATTGTTTTTAACCAAAAGGGGAGAATGGTTAGTAAAGGCCGATTTTCGGATCGGGCGAGAGGGGGTGCTCATAGCTGACCTTCCCCAATCGTACCCAAGTTCCCGAGCCGAGGCAACTTTGGTGATGACGGACACGTGGCCTTAGGCAAACGAGTCAGGGTTTCCTAATTTCCCCCAAAATAAAATATTTAGGTGGCGACTCTGTATCTGGCAAAGCAGTCCATGTTAGGCACTTCTTTTCTAAAAATCTGTTTTCTCAAAACGATTTGCCAGATTTGGACTCTTTGGTTCAGATTAAGAACCGTGACTAAAATGGAGTCCGAACTGTAGCGTGGGGCCCACGGGCGCGTCTACAATATACAATAACATAATTCAACTCACACATGGCACATATCACAATTAAAAGTAAACACATAATTAAATCAATATAATCATGATATGCATTTTAGGGTCATTACAATAAGTTTGTTGCTTTCAATTTAAGGCTAAAGATAGGTTTTCGACAAAAGGAAAGAACCCTAATTATCTGGGTGTTGGGTTATCTGAGAAGAAGAAATGCAATTACCTTCAGTCTTGCATTCATCAACCTGCATCCCTCAAATAGTCCTTGTGGACAAAATTTTCTTGGAAATTCCTTTAAAAATCTCAAAATTTTTATCTTTCAATCATGTGAGCTATTTTTCATTTTTGGCATAGGGTGCATATGTATCTCTATCAGAGGGTTTTGTAAAAGCAATACCCAACAACATTTATTGTCATGTTTCATAGTTATGTATGCCCAAGCCCAATAGCCTTTGTAATAGTTAAAATATTTGATTTGCTTGAGAACTACAATATTGTTTTCTTTGAGTATAATCGATCTCTTGTACATCTGAATCATATATTACCTTTAGTTTGTTCAAGATTAATGATTTGTAGGATTTTTTTATTGTTTTATTGTTTTTTGTGAGCTGAATGAACATATGCTTGGAATTTGTTAAAGATTTGATAGGGGAATACATTGAAAAGGGAGCATTAGCAGTTGTTTTTTCAGATGCTATATTTGATAAAGAGGCAATGGATCAAAGAAATTCTGATCAAATATGTCAACTTTCCCATCTTGCAGCTTTAAGGGGCAATGAAGTTGTACAAAGGTGGGAATTTGAGTCTTCTGTTGCATATGATTTTTAGTTAACCATTAGATTATTTTGCTGGTGATGGTAGAATTAGTAGAGGGGGAAAAAAAAGACAAAAGGAAAAAAGGGAAGAGAAATGATTTGAGACAATAAAGAGAGAGAAACTTAGGGTTCTCTCCCTCATTTGCTAATATTTATGTTAAATGAGTTCAAAGTACAAAGTATATAGCAATCCAAGTTTTACCCCGACCTTGTTGTGTACCGGACTCGGGTTCCGTGGTTGTATATTGTTCTCTATATCTTATTTTCATCCTTTAATTCTTTGTATTTGAGTTTTGGGACGTGTTGGGTGAATTTGGAACAGGTTAGTTGTGAGTTGGTCCAAGTGGTTGCTGTCCAGGTTTTGGCCTCTTCGCTCAAGCGAGGCATTTTGCACTCGAGCAAGGCATTTTGCGCTTGAGCGAGCCTTGGGTTTTTCTCTTCGCTCGAGCGAGCACTCTTGTGCTCAAGCGTGTGTCTAGGTCTTTGTGAGACCTGAAGGTTGGTATTCTTCACTTGAGCGAGCGTTCTTGCACTCGAGCGAGCTCTGTGTTATATGTTCCTTCACTCGAGTGAGCACTCTTGCGCTCGAGCGTGTGTCTGCGTTGGTGGAAAACCTGAAGCCTTGCATTGTGCACTCGAGCGAGGTATTTGTTGTGTCTGGTCGCTCAAGCGACAACTCCTTCGCTTGAGCGAGCCTCGCATATATCAATTCGCAGCAGAGCTCTTCTTCTTCACTTTTTTTTCTTATTTTCACTCAAAACCCTAGATCTGACTGTCTCTCTCTCTAAACTCTCTCTCTCTCTCTCTACAAATACACCTTGTTCTAGGGTCTTTCTACCCTACTCCCTTTGTTAAAAAGCTAGAGGATTGTGTGGGCTTTCTTTTGATCCGAAAAAGTTTGGGTTTGGAGCATCTTGAGTTTCTCTCTTCTTCTCTTTTGAGCTTCTCCATTTGTGGTAGGGATAATCTACTCTTTAATATGAGTTTTGACCTAAATATTAGTCATTTTGTATAAATGGTGGGATATGGGAAGTTTGGGTGAAGTTAGGGTTTTGAGTTTGAACTTGTGAAAGAGAGGTTTTCTAATTTTGGGCTCCATTGTGTATGTGAGGTCCCGAGAT